GGTGGTCAGAGTGCATCCCAAAATCCTCCAGTTTGATTTTATCCCATCTATCATTATTCTCTTTGGCAAACACAATGCCATTGGTTCCCAGAAGAATTATAGGGCTGCACTGCAGAAGACAAACAATTTACTGGCACTTTGCCTCACTGAACAGCACTGTCAGCCTGCCAGGAACCATCCATTTTAAACAATACATGTTTTAGTCACGAGGCTGCACATTTCTTGGACACAATAACTCACACTATTCATAGAACCATTTAAGTTATGCCAACTACTTAAGATAATAGAAGCCATTCAAACACGGGAAGTGTGTAGCCTCATCAAACATCTCTGATTTCATTTTATGTTTAACATTCTGATAGACAAATATCACACAGATGTGCTGGAAAAATACCACCGCCTTCCACCTATGCTTTGAACTAACTCGCGCTTAAGAGGGAAAGAAGATAAGATTCAACTTGGCAGGCTTTTCTGCATTAACTCCCTCTCCTACCAGAGTGTAAATTAAGTGGGGAGCTAGTGCAGTGTGCTGAAGCAGGAATGTGGGCCTGAGGCAGAGCAGGGCAGAGCAGAGCATAGCAGCAGGATGCTCGAGGGGAGCCGGAGGCTACATTATGCTGCAGTGGGGCCAGAGAGCTCGGTGTGTGACAGCCCTGCACCCTCGGTGGACACACCAGGACCACTGCCACCATATTCTCAAGACATTTACATTATTCAAAGATAAATGCATTGTCAATTTTGTGTCTCCCAGCACTAGATATGTGTGCCGCTTCACTCCTCCCGCAGCCAAAGGTGGGCTCACCTCCGCCCGCTGCAAGACACACTACAAATGAAATCAAATGTCTTTCTCGATGGTGCAGAATTACTTAACCCTGCAAGCTGCCTCTGCGCTCTTGGATTTTAGATTGTAATGCAGAGGCCTGTAGGTAAGGAGAACAACAGAAGTAGGAAATGTTCCTAAGACTGGTAATTTCAAAAGGAAGACACTGCAAACTGTCTATAAGATGGCAAGATAATCATCTGTTATCTTATTAAATGACTGTCATTTGTTGGTGTCTTGACAGTTTTGCTGTTTTGGCTTGTTTGCTGGGACAAAATCTCCCATCTCAAGGTTGAGGCTTTTATTTGCTTGAATTCTAAGTGAACAGTTAAAAAAATTACAAAAGTTATTGGCATGCATCCATCCTCTGGGTATCATGAATGCCTGCAGCAGATTTTGGCCCTATCCATCAAGGATATGTTGAGATATTTCAACCACAGTAGTAGTAACATTAGCCAGCTGGTGACACTACAGGAAAAGTCAGGGATCGCTATGCTGAAACTGAGATTCATCCTCCGGGGGAGCATAAAAGTCAGAATCAAATGTGACAATATTTTTTTTTACCCCAAACTAAAAACATCACCTTGATGTGGCACTAAAGAAACAAGAGAAAGTCCCCCCCCAGAGGAATTATTGTCTGTACAAATTGCCAAAGTGATCCAATAGTTGTCTCGATATGTGAGTCTGCTAGATCAAAGTGATCAGCGCTGCGATGACTAGAGTCATGGTGTCTGTCATCCTTTCACATGGATCCTCATTGGTTGTTATAGTTGGCTGTTAACTTAATTGTAGACTGTTGCTATAAGTAAACACACCCAGCACTAATCTTATTTTCAATCATTTTATCTTATTTTAAGATACCAAGTTTCCATCAAAAGAAAGCTGATCTTCTTTAAGTTTTTTATTTAAATGGGCTTAACATAGAATTTTTTTATATATATATAGTTGACTGTTACAGAGTAGATTTTAACTTGAGGTCAGTGAGGTCAGATCAGATGTAGTCCAACCCAAAAGGCGATTTAAAAAAATCTAAAAATGTATGTGAGACTTGGATTATAATGGTTAGACAAAAAATCTTAGGGCTTTGCCATATGTCTCCAAAGAAAACAGAAATATAAAATGAGACTTAACGTTTTCCTTTAAATTTGCTGCTGTTATAACAGTGAAACAATTACATTTGACAAAATTAGAAATTTGAAGAAAGTAATGAGTAAGGTCAAATAAGCTTACCTAATGGGTGGCATAGACAGACACAGGGATAGTTTTTAAAGATAACAAAGATTCTTTCAATATTTGATGCCTGATTATGATTAGATTTGAAATGCACAATCTCTCAAATTAATTCAAGGCATGGTAACAAGACTGTGTTAAACTACACAAATGATCAAACGTATTTCATACTTTATCACAAGAAATATTCTGTAATTATCAAATGTAATGTGGAAGACATTATGGGATAAATAATTACTTAACTGACAGTTAAAGGTGGTGTTATTATCATTTTATCACTGCACAGATCTCCAAAAATGACCAGAACCAACAATGAAGTGGTCCAACCGGCATGAATTACTTAAGCACAGGTAGTGGTGGTGTTATAGTTTATTCCTGTCTGTAATAGCACTTCATTGCTGTCTGAAAACACTTAAGAAATGTTAAGTGTTTCAGTGCAATGGATGTAGGCACAGTGGTTGATGTGGAGTCTAACCCTTGTACAGTTTCCCCAGCACCAAGTACTGTATTTATTAAAGTGTGCCTGAAACACAAAGTCCCCAACAAATGCACCATTAATCTATGTTTTAAAATTAAACTATTTGTAGTGGTCTTTGGAAAATTACATCTTCAGAGGGAGCAAATTGGCCCGGGGCAGAATGAGTCAGACACAGCAGGACAGTTGGACAGTTTTGAAAGACCTATTAGCACGCTGTTGGTTTTGGTCCTTTTTGTGGAATTTGTTAATGCGAAGGGAAACGCAAACCAGTGACAGCCTTATCCTTTAAATACACATTTCCATGATTTGAACAACATCACCCGTCAGTGTAAATCTTTCAGATGTCATTCTCCTCTCCTGTAAATATTTCAATCAGGTGTTTGCTTGTGTTCTGCTGTAGGCTTTCCAGCAAAGATGACACTGGCAAATATTCCCAAGAAAATGGCATCCAGAGTAAAACAGGACAGGCTGTAGGATGACCGTTGAAACTTCCTTGGACGAATTGTTAACTTTAATACAGAAACTTATGAATATAGTTATTCATTCAACAATCCATCTCTCATATCTAAAAGTCACAGACTATTTTACTGAAATAATGTGTCTGGGATTACAAATGAAAACCACACAGGATCATTCTTTATCCAGGAGACAGATTAAATTCCAAACCCTGTTACTGTAATAGCCACACTTGTAGCTTGCCATGAATTAGAGCTCTAATTATATTAGGTACTATTTTAAACAAAATAACACATTTCTTATGATCCATAGGTGTAATTTATAGCATAAGCCAGGTTCATTTTCTTGGGCAATCAATTTCGTGGTGTAGCAGAAGACTAATATAATTATGTAAAGTGCTGAGAGCTGAGTATCACAGTCAGCACAGAAGGTTTTTTCGAAGATAAATGAAGATGCAATTTATTCACTCATAATTTCATACAGAAAATACCAAGAAGGAAATCCATAAGAGCATCAGAAAAGGGTACAGGCACTAATACTTTTTGATATAGACTATCAGAGCATTGCAGTCAAAGGCTTGCGTAATGTATGAATTACTTCAGGTTTCCTCACATCAGTGAGCTATCTTTCACACAAGGAAGGAGGAGTAGAGCCTTTTTGGCCAAGCCCTCTAAATCATACCCGGAGGAGTGAGTCATTTATAACAGTTACAATTATATCAATATCACTAACACATAAGAGCTGCGATAAATCCACGCACATCAGTTTCTGTGACACAATGCATGATCCATGTGGGGAGGTTCCTCAGCTACTGTTATTCGTTTGGCTGCAGGTTTCTCACAGTTAATGTGTTTCATGACTCAACAGGACACAAGCTCAACACAAGAACCATGAATTAAAGTACCAGCTCTTCTCATTTTAGTGTGACATCAATTTTCACTCTTTTTAATTTTCAATTTTCATCTACTGCATGCTCTTATTAAAAGAAACACACCGTAGCCCTACTGTTATGCTATGCATAACTTCACTGGAAATCCTCTTCAGTGAGCTGTACAGGCATGTTTTAGGAGTAGGAGCTGCCAGCATGAAAAAAACTATTGTCAGTACTTTAGTTGCATCAGATCTGGACTGTGCAAACCAAGAGCAAATATCAGTGAGTGGTTTATTAACAGACAGTATCCAGTGCTGTGTTTAGCTCTTTGGTAATGTTGTCACATTTGTTGTTCCGTGGGCATAAACAACTGCAGAACAAAAGTAGTTAAATAAAGTAGTTGTGTAGTTCATTTCCTTTGAGGAGGAGAAGTGCAGACTTTACAGGTTGCAAAATAACACATACTTACTGTATGACCTTCCTAAGGGGGAAAAAAGTGTCTGCCTGTTTTGCTCATCCAACCACACACAGTTTGGTAGATCCCTGATGACAGCAGAGGCCATAGAAGGAAGGACTTCTGGCAGTGGTGTCCTCTGACATTCACATCCTCTGTCACTGTTTACAGATGGTCAGGGTGTGTGTGAAAGATCATCTTTCCTGCTGCCTGATGCCAAAGGCTTAGCGAACGACTCTATGAGGAAAGAAATTAAATCCTGCCTGTCGGTTTTACAATAAAAATGAGATATGATATTGCATAAAACATGCTCTGGAACAACAGGGTGGTTCTGGAGAGGTGGGAATTTCTGCAGAGCTGTTCCTGTCCTGTATTTTGTAATGAGTTTAGATAAGAGAAGAAAGGAAGTGAATGAATATTAAAAAGAACACACCCGTTCAAGTCAAACTGATCCTTTTATTTGGAGGATCTGGATTTTCTTGACATGAATTAAATTATGCTATTAAACAGTCCATGGAGTAACTGAAAACACTAAGTGTTACATAATGGCACAATCAACCTGAAACTTGTGCTTCATCATCTTAAAGTAGGCATAAAATTACAACATTACATTTAAACTGGTTTGTTCTTACACCAGGAAAAAAAGCATAGAAAGAATGTGAATAGACAAAAAAACAACATTAACATGAGCTTTTTTTTTATTTCCTTTGCTGTGCTTTGTTCTTACTGATTTCAAATTTTGTAAAGTCACAAATCTACAGCAAGACATCCTAATACTTTACAGTTGATTCTCTAATATCAGAACTAGAGCACTTTAGTCACTTTCTTAATTTTAATTTGTGGATTTAATGATAAGACAAAACAAAACAGACCTTGCCCCTCATCCCCCTTTTTTAATATCACGCTCTTCAGCCAAGAATCCGCTTCAAACTAAGTACCATCCCTGCCTTTACGCCACATTTTTTTAAAGCTGAAACTCATCTCCCAGGTCACTCAGCTGCTTGCTGTGAAATTCAGTCTTGATCCGATGCTCTGTAATCCACAATCAGGTGCAAACAGAGCAGCCAAGGAGTCCTTTAACAAAAGCATAAAGACATTGAAAGAAACTAGATGTCAGTACAGCTCTAATCTTAAAACAAGGGCTTCTTCTGCAGCTTTTTCCACGACTACAGCTCTCTTTTCTCTTGAACCAGCGCGGGTAACAAACAATGACCCCCCCTCCCCATACACACACATCGGGATGGAGATGAACGCTGCTCACTTACACAAAGGAGACATCGCGATATGTTATGCCAATGCCAACGTAGTAACTTTCTTTGAGATCTGATTAAATAATTGTTTCGCGTCTTTGAGTACGAATGAATTTGGGACCCTGCCTGTATAAAGAAAGGTTACCTTTTCTAGGTTACCTCAAACAGTTTGAATGAACAGCTGGATTCCTCCCTTGTTGTACAGCTCCTGATCTTCAGCAGAGACAGCATACATGAACTCCTCACCAAAAAAAAAGGTTTTTGCAGGATGTCCTGAATACAGATGAGTTTAAATGCTGTTAGAAGCTCTTGTTCTCATTAAAACAGTAACACTACTTCGCCATATGTAAATATTACTCTCCACTGAGAAGGCGTGGCCTGTCGGCTTTGTGTCCAATCAGGAGCGCAAAATGCGCTGCACTGCCTGCTCCAACAAACGCTTTCTTGTTTAATTAAATGTACTACTTCTCTTTTTAAGCCATCATTTAAAAAATGTATTTAATACACAGTCTTTACAGGATAAAGTGCATGTGTAATTTCACCATAACCAGGTGCATGTGCTTAATTGACAATCACTGTAATGATATTTCTCCCCAACCTCAGTTTGCATGGACAAAATTCAAACCCAGGATTCTGTAAAACACCACCTCTCTGCACAGTTTACTAACCATGTTTTTTTTTTTCTTCTTTGTAGGGTTAGAATGTCTTTTTTTTATTTATTTTCTTTTTTTACTCGGCAGCCTCAGGCAACGGAACTGTGCCGCTGCTATTTCCAGCTGAGGTGTAACTTGTTTTGTTTTTTTTCTTTTTTTGTACGCCACAGTGCTGAATTTGATCTCAGCTACACCCGTGGCTAATTTTCAAAGTCAGGGGCATAATGACGTGGATAAAATCTAAAACACAATTTGCTCCATTTGTTGCCTCGTAAATTAGATTTTAACGTGCATTATTTCCAAGCTGGAGGATGCAGATTTCCACTTAGCCTCACAAGTTAGCCAAAACAGTGGGGAAACGGTCCTCTACTTATTCAGCTGTGTTTTTGTTTTTAATTTAAATATTTATTTATATGATCATTATTTCACTTACTTGCATGTAAATAATAAAATTGTATTTTCATTGGAACTTAAAATTGCCCGAAAATCCCAAGGAAACAATTAATATTATCTTCTTCGGTGCTAAAGTTGTTTTTTTTTTTTTTATGAGAACTATTTTAAGCTCCATAAATTACATGTGAGGTGCAGAAAGAGAGAGGTTGCGGTGGTGGGGGGGGGGGAACCCACCCAGGGTTAAAATGGCCGCCATCCACGGAATACTGATGATTTGTGTTGCAGTAGCTCAGAGACAAAATCCAAGATGGATTTGTTTGTGGCACAGCACGGACTGAACGTACAAACGCCGCCGTTAATATAACCGTGAATCACGCTCAGTTCAGCGGCTGATGTTTGTGAAACTTCTGGGGTGGGGGCTCACTCTGAATTAGAGCCACAGTGAATTAAAGCCACTGATGATTTCTGTGACAAGAGTTTCATTTTCCTTCATGCGCTCTTAAATCCAGGGATATATCATCTTGGAAAATGTGAACACAGATTCCAACTGCCACAGCCCCCCCCCCC